TGTCCCCGGTTTTCCGGACTCATTGCCAATCACTGACACTGTACACAGCGCCCTGTAGTGTCCCAGCTGTACCGGACTCATCACCGATCACTGACAATGTACACAGCGCCCTGCAGTGTCCCCGCTGTACCAGACTCATCACCGATCACTGACAATGTACACAGCGCCCTGCAGTGTCCCCGCTGTACCAGACTCATCACCAATCACTGACACTGTACACAGCGCCCTGTAGTGTTCCTGGTTGGGCGCGGAAAGATCCGACTGGGAGGGGGGCCTATTTAAGATGGCCACAACAGCGGCGATCACACCTGTCAGCGCTCCCTCTCTCTCCTCCCGGATGCTGCAGCTTCAGAGCGGCCAGGAGGAGAGAGAGGGAGCGCTGACAGGTGTGATCGCCGCCTTTCTAAGTAGTGTGAGCAGAGGAGCGACAGGTAAGTTCCCCCCTAAACAACTTTATTTTTTTATATTTCATTTTTATAGAATATTTTTTACCTTACTGTTGGTAATTAGTAGGAGTCTAAACAGACCCCTGATATTTCCCTTTCAAAAGAGATTGAGGACACAGAGCCCTGTGTATCCCTCTTATCAATGAACCGGAATCCTCTATACTGAGTGTTCCTGTTCATTGAAAACATGAGGACAGAGTATGATTACTATAATCACAATCATGAATGAGCAGGAGGGGATGTAGATCACTTCCCATTCATTCATAATTGAGGATATAGTAACCATACCGTGTCCTCAATTATTTACAAACACTCAGTGATCACTGACTGCTTGTACCTTGCTCTTCATCCTGTCAGCTGTCACAGGAGGCTGAGCGAGCCGTGTGATAAGGAGAGCCCAGCCTCCTGTGACAGCGCTGGCTGTCTCTGCCCACACACCGCTCTCCTAGAGGGGAGATGTGGGAACAGAGGGGATGTGGGGGAGAGTGGGAACTGTATTTGTAGCCCTCTATAGTTCATGTACTCGGTCTAGAAAAAAATGGTATCGGTGGATCTCTACTCCCATCTATGCCCGTACCAAGGTACAGACATGTATTAATATTGATGGGAGGCAGAGTTAATTGACTACAAGTGCGGTGC